CAGACCGTACGCCTCGTTGTACAGGTCTATCGAGCGGCATTGCCCTACAGAGGCGATCGTGTGAGGGTCCGGGTCATCTCTGGCTTCAACTCACTACTGTTCCCTCCACTGAGATGTATTATATACAGCTCCTGATTAGTAGCAACCGGAGCCTCTGGTGAAAGGGAAAGTTAGCTCGACAGAGGAAGAGGAGTACTCGGGCTGGGCGTAATACGAGGGGGTGGGGGATATAACCAATGATATCCGGAAGCATTCCATAACAGGCCACCCCGACTTTGCAGTTAGCGCGCGCCCTGAGTCTGACGGCCGCGCTGTCGTATCCCTAGGCTCCTAGGATTCCCCAGTTGCAGCTCTTGAAGTAAGGTCTTTGAATGCTGGGATTTTCGAGTAGTGGATATATCGGTGATTTTCGAGCGGCATCCTATTTCCATACCATAAACTATGCATCATCAGAGCGTTTGTTTTGATGCCTTCCCGAAATGTCTAGTCTCGGTGTTGGTGGCATTAGCTATGGTGGAGGCGCTGGAGGTATTCTCCTAGCTGCTGGCTACAGCGAAGATATCAAATTTTACGATACGTTCACCGGGGAGATGCTGAAGACTATCGGAGGCCCGGGCTCGAGAGTACCAGGTGTCGAGGGCGTGGGCCTTCCAGCCGGTAGAATACCCCCATCCTATTCACTGTAACACCGAAGTGGCTGTAGGTGCAGCCCAGTACGGCAATGTGATTGACGGACATGTCAACTGTCTTGAGCTCACTCCGGACGACCGTTTTGTGGCCGCAGCGGGAAATCCATGGCTGAGAATCTTCGATTGTGAGTACACTAGCGCACCGTATGCGAGCTATGAGGGTGGGCATCGGGATAATATCACTGGTGTTAATTTCGAAGAGGATGCTAAGTAAGATCAGTGATAATGCTTACTTGGTCACCGGAGGCGTGAGAAATGTCAGATGGTTCGTCACATCATCTGAAGACGGTACGGCGAAAATATGGGACCGACGGGCTCCGGCTGGCGACGAGAAAAGCTTCCAAATGTCGGTTATTTTCACAGGGGGTATTTGACCACCACAGCAGCTCGTCTCGTCAGGTGTTTCAAGAATCAGCAGCCTGACGGTAGCGGTGGTGCCATACACTGCTGTGTGCTGCATCCCAACCAAGCCGAGGTCTTGTGTGGTGATGCTAGTGGTCGGGTCGCTGTGTGGGATCTCACGGCTAACAGGGTGCGCTATGGAGTTGCTGATGATCACAGGCTCCAGACTGTGGCAGTTTAGGTGTGGACGGAGGTGCCGGACCCAGGAGCCTCGCCGATCAAATCCATAGCGGTGGCTCCAACGTAGAAAGGCTCTCGTGCTTCTGGAAAGGGGACCTTGATGAGGTCATCAGGTATGCAGACCCGTCCAGTGATGCGGTGACTGTGGTGGCAGCCAACCATAAGGGCTCCTGTTTTTCATGGCGTGTATGCGGAGAACAACATGAAGTCGTTACGCCACCTCGAACACCTGAAGTGCATGCACGGGGTGGTATCGAAATTTCCAATGGGATCAACGCGGGTAGTGATGGTCCGAATCGTCTCGTGTCACCATGTTTTACTTCAGGTCCACCAGCGACCTCAGGAAGTACCTCAACATCATCAGAAGGATCGTCCGATCGGCAGCAGCAGACGGCATCGAATATCAAACCTTCTCGGGAAACACCATCAATTGTGAGTGGGAACACATGCGTCTTCGGCGACCACCGGGGGGATGTGTACGGGAAGAGGTATTCGTAGGATCGACTTTCCGAGTTTGAGAATTCCATCGCAGAGGATGCGGACTCGAGCAGCTGGGTCCCCCTCAATGTTTTGGATGCACATGACGCCTACGTATTGAAAGTAGGTGCAGGAAGCTCTTCGAGGCATATCAGGGTAACTGTTGTAGGTTCGATTCGCACCGGGACCGGCCCGCTTGCTGGCCACCTGCAGTAGTGATGGCACAGCACAGATATGGCAGTCGCATAGGTAAGTCTCGATGAGTTCGTCGTTGATAATTGATGCCTTGTGCGGTTAGTGATGGGTTTTCAAGACAGTGTGGTTTCGATGGTCATCCACGATGGGTGTGGGACTGTGCCTTCGGAGCTGATCGGAGGTCTTTCTACACTGCCTGCACTGATGGTGTTGTGCGTTTATGGGACCTCAGCACTACTGGGCAGCAGCAGTCTAGGGTGAGGCTGCTCAGTTCGGTTGCTCCTTCGATCATCCGGCTGTTTTCAGAATGGAGTTGATAGACCCCTCCGTGAGTATCGAGCTCCCAAGGCACGGCCGATGGGTGTGACGTGCATAGCGCTTATCGAGGGGCAACCCCATTCACCTTTACCTTCGCGACCAGGGTGGTTAGACTTGCCGCAAAATAGTGACGTTGGCAAGACTTTACAAGAACTGGACGATGAAGACTAGAACTTTTCGGCAATCTACCTGTTGAGTATGTCAGTATTGCTTTAGTCATTTTTACTCAAGAAAGATGGGACACTTGTGTTTTCCACTAACTTAGAAAGTAGGATATTCGATCATCACATTCAGCGTGCCATAGAGGGACTTGAGAACAATCACATGCATGACGTTCATGCCATCTGCGAAGTTCGCATGATAATTGCTAAGGATGATTAGTCAGAATTGCCAGTCCGCTCGTGTGGAGACACCTACAGATAGTCACCTTGCACGGAAAGTACTCAGAATAGCACATTGCCGTTAATGAATGCAACGCACATGTGACTTGCACATGTTGCGTCGTAGCTCGTCTTTTC